TGGCTGCTGCCAACTGTGTCCGTGCAATTTCTAATGAACCGTTCAACCAATGATTTTCAAATTGTGATATGTTGATACTGATGACAAAATGAAGGTCAAGTTCGATATATACGATTTTGTTTTTTACCGTTCAGGAGTTATGGTCCTTGATTTATTGGAAACTGGCACTTTATTTCATTTCCGTTCAATAACTTATAATATTTCTATCATAAATAAGTATTTATGAATAAATGACGACAGTATTTATCCGATGTTCAAATTTCGTAAAAACGATTGTATAAATAACATTTTTGCAAGTAGACTGTTACTACTAAAATCCAGTACTGTATCTGTGATGACAGGTATGTCTGTATCCCTGTTGGTAAACTTTGGTCATTTCTTTTCCATAGTTTGTTTTCTGATTTTGAGTACTGTAGTTTTAAACACATTTTAAAAAGAAAAGTCATATTTTTTATAACAAAATAGAACATGATCTGTTTTCAACATGAAAGGTAACTCCTTTGTTTGGATTATAAATAATGAACATTGTCGTTCCGTATGCATTCATTCAAAAGTTTACATTTAAAAATAAAACATTCTCATAGTTGTTAATTTCTGTGTCATTTGGTCTCTTGTGGAGAGTTGTCTCATTGGCAATCATATCACATCTTCTTTTTTATATGAACACGGTATTTAAATCGTTTTTTAAAGTTTAAATTCAATACCTAAACTCGAATTGTTAATCTACACTTTTTCCCTTCTTATTTAGGTCAATGTTAAATACGAGACTTCAAGTTTTAGTTCAAATATCATTTGCATGGTCTATCAGTTTTCTATTGAAAAATATCAGGTATCCTGTTTAAATGTTTATTTAAAATATGTCAATATAAGGTACACACATATACATAACACAATTATAAATATTGGGGTGTGTCCAAATGAATCACAAAATATCACTTTATAGTTCAACTGCAGTTTCCGTTGTGTTAAAATGGAAGTTATATCAAATAACCTTTCACAACAATGACGAGTATGTGATGATATTGCACAACCGACACTCTATACTTTCAAGCCAATAACTCAAAATGGACAATATACAGCATTTATTCATCATCTGTGTTTTATTTAAATTTGTAAATGGATCAAGTAGTTTCAGGTAAGCATAGTTTTTTAGTAAATACAATTACACGATTTCACTAAACATGTTAACTCAATCTTGACAAATTGATTTGATTGTAAATGTCATCAGGTTAGTCTTAAATATGTCGAAACCAAATAAAGACAAGTAAGTTCTCTTTGCAATGTATTCAAATAATTTCAAATATTGTTTAAAAACTACACCATAGCAGGATAACCGTTGTCACGTGTAAGATGTGAGTCCTATATTCTTTAAGAAAAATAAGGGGAAAATTAATTGATGATTAGAAATAAATCAAATTATCACAGAAAAGACAGTATTGATCACGTTCATTTTCTGAATTATATTTGTGATTTTGAGAAAATTGATGTAAAATTTATTAATAACGAACTAATCGAATGTGGAAATAAATTAATACTGATAATATGACTACCAAAAACCGATTAATTTTTCTGGCGGCGTTATTGATGCATTTTTTACTTTGTACCCTTTTGTTTAAATCATTCGTTAAGCGATACTATGTACCCTCCCTCTTTATATTTATAATTATTAAATTAAGATAAACTTGTTTTCAACGGCTTTCCTTTGTTATAAAATTTCAAATACTGACTTTCTGTTCGAAGAAAAGTCAACAAAAATTTGAAATATTAGTGAAAGGAAAACAAAGAGTGCAAGCTGTTTTCATAATTTATGTACTTTTTTTTATAAAATAAAATCACGTGAAAATCATGATAACTTGGGTAAATGCCGATGAAACATCATCACAACTAGATACGAATCCATTCATATATACATCGGTGAATTAATAACTACAGTAGTTTTCCGATGTTCAAATCTCGTACATAAGCGAAAAGAGATATATCATGGTAGCAAACAAAACTTGCAGGGAATCGCAAGAACTTCAAATGGAACAAAACCATGTGCGTCGACAGTAAAGCGCCATTTTCAAAGGAAACATACCCGCCATGCGAATCTACAAGCACTTAAATTGTCACAATCGACAAGATCACAACCTGTAAAATTACATTAAGACAATTATTCTGATATCTGAAGAACTAAGACCGCGCAGCATGTTGCTAGAGTATTGAAATACCGACGTATCATATCGGTCATTCAATTCGTGATTGTGACCGTAACATTTCAGTCGTTCTTCTAAAAAATCTGTTTGAGCAGTTTTTGTATAAAATTGGGTAAAATATTCAAGATAAAAATTGTAGAATATTTACATATAAAATCGTAATTGCACGGTAAATGAAATTCTGCATTAGTGAACATGCTTCCATAATAAATCTCTATATTTGTAATACAAGTTTTAAACGTTGAAAACAATTATTGGTTATATATGAATTACGATTATATCAAAGACGTTTGCCATTTATATATCCATAATTGTTTTTGTAGGATCACATTATCATTTGTGTAAAATTCTGATATGTTATCATAAACCAGAAGAATTTAAAATCGTTATTCTTTTGTTAATATTGATAAAGACAGAACAAAATATGTTTTCTTAATGCAATAAAAAAAAACAAGACGTATGTATACACAAAGATCAATGTTACGGACATCTGTTTTCTTGATTATAATATTTGAAGATATATTTACAAGGAAATAAAAATATAACAAACGTCTTGACACTGACCATCAGTGCATCAAGAATATGCAATATTATATAGCAAAAGGGTGGGTTATTAAGCATTGTAATGCACAGTTTATGGTCAATATCTTAACCTTAGATTTATTAGATATTTATCTGTTTAGATGGCATAGATTATAAATGAAGAAAAAAATCATGGACATGTTCATCCTCCTGACTTTCCTTCAGGTATGTATGATTTAAGTCTGACACATCTGTTTTATTTTCTGTATCTCCGTCTTGTTTCGGAATGAGGAAATTTATCGTACAGTTGTCACATCAAAATTAAACTTAGTTCATATGTTCAGTTTAACGTTGTAAAAAAAAAGGATGTGGGGGTAATCAATCGATGACACAAAATCAGTAAATCCACAGCAAAAAAACACGAAAAGCAATGGAACAGCGCTTTTATTGCTGTTCTTCATCTCAAAGTCACAGTAATGCCTTTTACACGGAGCAAAAACACTCTCACTACACTGCAAGATTAAGACACCCCTAGCACCGGTTTGAATGGAATTCTTTGCAAACTGACGATCACGCCACAACTGTAAATAGAAGAACAAAGCTATGGAGTAATATCTATAAAATGAATATGACAAAGAAATCAAACATATACTGTCATACTGAAGCGTGCGTAAAAAAATTATAAGCATTTATACAACAACGGTTGCGGGATTTTCTCGCTGTGTTGAAGACCCATTGGTGGCCTTCGGCTGTTTTTTTTGCTCTTTGGTCGGGATGTTGTCTCTTTGACACATTCCCCATTTCCATTCTCAATTTTATAAACACATTATAAGCATGTATACAACAATGGGGCACATCGAAATATATGTTAGATAACATATGTGTAGGGCAAATAATTCTGATAAACTATGTAAGATGTATGTAATTACACAAACTGGCCTTAAATGGTAGTACACGTTTTGAATCATATTCCAAATAACGATTCTACCCCGATTTCATGGTTCCCTAATGACTGAAATGTAAAGTGTGAAACCAGTACATCTCAGTATTAGATTTACTTTTCTGTATTTAACCATCAAATCTTTTAACTTTAGTACATATGTCCGTTTTGTTGTTATTCATGGTTCATTCAAGGCGAATATATGACAGTGCGAGCGTGGCATTTTGTCCAATGGATATATACCCCTGTTCATAAACAGTTTACGTTCAGATATTTCCATACACCACCAGTGCGTCGAAGATTCTCCTCCCGGAATTGTATTGTCCGTATCAAACTAAAATGCATCCATAACAAGTAATTGAACTATAAGCAGATTTAGGCCACAATGAAGTCCCAAGCTTTGCACTAGGTCTTATCTTATATACATATCAAAAGATTTTACTTATTGAAAGATTTAACTACTAATATTTCACTAACTTTCGACCAACACGATATTGTCAAATGACGTGATTGTATTGTAACTTCAGTTGCATTGTTTTCTGGACAACCACTCATGAACACCGTTCCAGATCAAATGGTATTCAACTGGATGGAGTCAATTAAATTGTCCAATTCAATTTTTTGTGGCCATAACATCATCAGACATAGGTTTTTATGGTGGTCATTTATCTTCAGTTGCATTAATTGAAATGAAACGAGGTTTGACAACAACAACAAAAAAAAAAGAAATCTGATCCTTGAATTTCAGATGAACTCCCACAAATTTCACAGTCATATTCAGAAGCAAATATATTATCTTCTATACATTTCAGATATGTGTCTAGGTCAATTTTCTCAACACTTCCACTGCCGGAATAGTGATTTAAAAGATAATTATGTAAGAGTTGAAAAGGCTGCAAATGAAAGGCAACAATAGTTTACCGATGTACAATCTCTTAAGTCAGTTATTCTTCATCGTACCTCGGTTGCGTTTGCTTTAATTTTCTGTATATAACATGTTAAATTTGTCGAAACACTAAGGTCTTTTTTCTACCCCGGATCAGCTTGCCTTATCTGTAATTTCCAACAGCAAAGTTTTATAAAACAGTATCCGTACAACTTTGTATTTGATTTAGCCTACCAACAGTATTGGTGAGTCTTAATTAGCCTAAACGCACGTATGTCATACACAATACTAAGGCTGGTGTTTTTGATGAGTTTTTTACGTGCTCACAAACAATCGACACTGTGCGTCAGTGTTGACAAAATACAATGTTGATGGAAAACTTGCTAAAATTGTTGATGTATATGCATTTATTTTTTTTAGATGTTATTCTTGAATGAAGCCTACAACCTCACCTGTCCATTACAGGCACACTGGAAAATTCGGGCAAAAGCCATGTGTAAGCCTCCAAAAAATTATACTTGCTTATTTGACATAACTTTTAGAGTAAATGTATACAGAGAAATATGTAACAGACCTAGAATATTAGATCGTGGTAAGTCTTTGAAAATATCTAAAAGTTTGTCCTGTTAATACAATAGCATGTATTTTTTCATTATTTTTTATCTTTATCAGAGCAAACAATGAAAGTATTTATTTATTTATGTTAAACAATAACTGTATTTTCATATAATGAAAATGTTTGATAAACAATTAAAAAATAAAGTTTCTTCAATTATCAAAAGTCGTTTTTTTTTATTATTGTATTTCAATGTAAATGAAGTAACTTTGTTGTGAACGTATTTAAGTACATGTATCTGGATTAAGAAGTGACAAATGCAGCGAAATATAACTTAAACTATAAAACCATTAAGTAAGAAATTTGAGACGCATGTATATTGAATATTTCTTTACTTAACATTTGCAGGTCATAAATACGTCTTTCAGCCGAACTTAAATAGAGCAACATGCAGTTTAAATCGATATCAACCTGAAATTTTTGAAACAAATGGGTACAGTGACTGCATCTTTCAAAAATCACTTTGTAACAACTTAGGTCAAGAGACGTATGAATATGGTAACACTACGGTCGACATAAAATGTATTTGCAATACCGATAGAGGATATACTTTTGTCAGGAACTCGAAAAACCAATGTAACTGCAATCCTTCAACTGAAGATTGCTCCTGCCATCTCGGAATAAATCCATACAACAAAACGGTTGGACTGAAAGGTAAAGTATAAGTATCTTTTTTGTCAGATTTAAATTCTATCAAAACTTTAATGAGCTTGTTGATTAAAAATCCAAATCAGTTTAAGGGCTTAAGGTTATTTTTAGAATACAGGTTTCTTTATATCTAATGGGTCTATTCCATTGCTGGTACCGATGGACGTTTAGTCCCCCGGGATAATTCAAAAAAAAGTCATCATTTTGTGATGCTATCGGTAATAATCATTGATACACTATTTGTATGTAAAAAGTAAAATAACAAAAATACCGAACTCTAAGGAAAATTCAAAGTCCCTTAACAATTGGCAAAATCAAAAGCTCGAACACATCAAACGAATGGAAAACAACTGTCATATTCCTGACTTGGTACAGGCATTTCCTTATGTTGAAAATGGTGGATTAAACCTGGTTTTAAAGCTAACTAAACCTCTCATATGTATGACAGTTGCATAAAATTCCTTTATATTGATAACAATGTGTGAACAAAACAAACAGACATAATAGGTAAAAATGTTTATTTAACGAGAAAAAGATGGAAATGACAAGGCCTTGATTATTACTATAGAATTAACTCGAAATCTTTACAGGCTTAGGACGCTTTACAGCTTGAAATAATGTACAGACTCCTGTCTATTGTTGAAGACTTTATGTTTACAGGCTTAGGACGCTTTACAGCGTGAAATAATGTATAGACTCCTGTCTGTTGTTGAAGACTTTATGGCTTTACAGGCTTAAGACGCTTTACAGCGTGAAATAATGTATAGACTCCTGTCTATTGATGAAGACTTTATGTTGACCTTTAACTGTATTTTGGATATTGTTGTCGTCTGGTTTAAGCCTCATTATCATTTACACAATTATATATTAAGAAACGTACATGTTGCACACAAATGTAAAATGAATAACATCTTAATTTATAGAAAACCTCGTGTATGTTTATAACCAACACACTATCATAGTGTAATAAAAACATTTGTATAAATTTGCATACATGCTGGTTATCGACACTGTGCAAACTAATTTGGTACCGACAATCAAAATTGACGTAAAAGATAATTATTTGTATATCGTTTACACAAAGGAAAAGGAGTAGGGGCAATAAGGCCCTCATTTGGCCCAAATATTACTGCAAATTTAAAAGTTATCATACCTATTCTGAAATTTGTTATAACTGGACTAAGGTACCAGGTATTCAGAAAATAAAAGCAAATGTCATGTTGAACGAGTTGCCATGGCAACAAACTATGACGAAATTCGTATATTTTGTAAAATTTCTTGATTTTCCTTGTTTTTCATCAAATTTTAAGTATATTTTAGATTGGCAAAGTATGTACGCACACAAGAACTAACTTTTTGGTGAGATTATGTTAATAGTTATAATAAAGCTTCTCTTAAATTATTTTGTTGTTTCTTGGGTGCGCACGATGTTTCTATAATGGAAATAAAGATGGAAAACTGCATAAACTCTATTTTTTATCGTTTTCATGAAAACAGTACATATTGTGACTAAATCGTAACGTCATCAGATAAAAAATCTGATCTGTTTCATTTATATTTCCTGACTCTATGCATTTCCAAACAATATGTGCAAATTTGAAATAGTTGTCAAATATTTTATTTTCTTGGGTTAAAATGGGGCCTTAATGCCCCTTCTCTTCTGTTATAAGAAAACCAAACGTGTCAATTATATTTTTCAGATATCAAATGTTATGATGACATGAAAATGACAAAAAGTCCTTTCTTAGGAGATATGTAAGTTTTTGTTTATTTCTCAAATTATATTCCTTTGTGATGTCATTTTTTTTCTGTAAATTAATATAAATATACCTATACATTTAATGTCTCTTTAAATTCATTTATAAAACAATATATGTCCAAGTTGTCTGCCATCGCAAATGAATATTTGTTCCAAAGTTTAAATATTATATAACAATACCAAATGGATGAAGGTGTATCAGCTATGCTAACAACTATCAGATCCTGAAATCAAAAATAGAAATACTTCTTTGTAATTCATAAAAGAAACGTCAATAAAAATCAGCCCGATTCTGCTAATGGTAACTTTGCTTAAGGTGATAAACACTTCGTTATTTTGAAGTTACAAATTGTTTTTGTGTTTACTTTTCACATTTGATCTGTACAAAACTATGCACCAATAGGCACGTGTATGTGTTTTTTTTCAGGTTCAATATATCTAGGACAATAAAGATCATCGAGTTCGACAACTTCAAATACAACCTGAACTATGTTCCTTCAAGTAAGTTTTAACCGGATACAGAAAGGATCAATAAAATTTAATAAAGTAATTTGAAGACTATATTAACAAGTATTCGTTTTGCGCTTCATTTTGTAAGAAAATAGACACCAAAATTTAAAAAAAAATTGGAAAGCCTTGTTCAAGCAATTGTTGCCTTATTTTTAATAAAAATTATAGATTTGCCGTTTCTAAATTATTGATGATGTCCCAAATGATCATACTACAGAGGAACAATTCGTTCACAAATTTAAACAAATGTTTAATACACCAAGTTTGCCTAATATTATGTTAAGTGAACTATTTGAATTATGACTGATGACACAGACAGTCATCAATCACGGTTGCCTTGTCAAATTCTAATTTTATATATTTTACAAAAAATGTCATACTGCAGTGACGGAAACCATATGAAAGGTCGATAACATCGAAACATTGGTACATTATTGATTAATGGTGCCCTATTTGATAAGGGACTTTCCGTTTTGAATTCTTCTTGGATTTCATTTTTTTTTATTATCTTACCTTTTCAAAACTTTTGATGACCCAACTAATCCCCAAACTTTCCTGTAGAAGTTCTTATCATTTAAAATTTTACAAACATTTGTTTTTAAGGTCTTTATTTAAAATTTTACAAAAAAATTTAAAATGGGTAATTGCTTTCTGATTCTGTCTAAAAAATACATTAAAAACCCTTTTTACAATATGGCTGATAGTTGATACCCTCAATTGATATTAAATATGATTGCTACCGTTTCTAAAAGTCATGCACTGGACAAAGATCCATTTGTAAATCCTGTAAAGAGGGAATCGTTTCAAAGTTTGGGTAATGATAATTTTGGGTCATCTACAATTAATTACCACACCGACCATCAATCATGACTGCAACATCTTCTTAAACTTTAGTTATATCAATGATGTATATTACAAAAATACAACGATAACAGGATACATGTATAATGCTCTTTCAGATGAAGAGTTGGTGATTTCGACAACCTTGAAAGATATAAATAGTTCAAAATTTTACATTAAACATGATAAAAATTCAAAAAAATTAGAAGATGTGGTATTATTGCCAATGAGACAAATCTCTACAATAGTCCAAATGACACAGAAATAAACAACTATCGTTCACCGTACGGCCTTCAGCAATGTCTAAAACCCATACCGCATAGTCAGCTATAAAAGGCCTCGAAATGACAAATGTTAAACAACCCAAACGAGAAAACCAATGGCCTGATTATGTACAAAATAATAAACGAAAAACAAATATGATATACATATGATAAAAATCATGTAAAAGACCACTTGTCTTTAATGTGATCATTTATGTCAAAAGCATTGCATACACTGTTCAAAATAGATATTTCAATAAAAACTGATGACACAACGTTTCGGATGCTGATTTCTACCGAAAGTTGTATTTTTAAAAAGTAAAACAACAAAAATACCGAACTCCAAGGAAAATTCAAAACGGAATTTCCCTTAACTATTGTATTTTTAATATATTTATTTTACAATGAAAAAAGTTGTTGGTTAACCATAATTGCCATCTTTGTTAGCCATTGTTCATTGACGATGAATTTTGTATAAATAACATAACGGTTATCAATGTTCGAGAAAAAAGTTTAAAAGCAAGAATACTGATCATTTCAATATTTTGAAAAAAAAGAAGAAACACAAAAAATATAAGTTATTACAATATTGTTGCGTTTATATTATACAATTTATCATGAGTTAACAAAAAGTAAAACAACAAAAATACCAAACTCCAAGGAATATTTAAAACGGAAAGTCCCTTAACAATTGGCAAAATCAAAAGCTTAAACATATCAAACGAATGCCATACTCCTAACTCGGTACAGACATTTCCTTAATTAGAAAATGGTGGATTAAATCTGGTTTTAAAGCTAGCTTAACCTCTCACTTATATGACAGTCGCATAAAATTCTATTATATTGACAACAATGTGTGAACAAAACAAACAGAAAAATGTCAAAAATAGGGATACAGCAGTCATCATTGTGTTAAATTCTCAAATTTACCTAATCTACGATTCAATAACATTAAGAATGAAAATGTGGATTGTGTCAAAGAGACAACCCGACCAAAGAGCAGAAAACAGCTGAAGGCCACCGATCGGTCTACAACACAGCGAGAAAATCCCGCATCCGCAGGCGGGCTTAAGCTGGCCCTTTAAAAAAATATGTACTAGTTCAGTGAAAATGGACGTCATACTAAAGTCCAAAACATATAACTGAACTAAAATTAAAAAACATACCTGACTAGGGACCGGTGGAAAAAGTAGGCGGGGTTAAACATGTTTTATGAGATCCCAACCTTCCTCATATACCTCTAGCCAATGTACAATAAACAAATACACAGCAATAGGCACAGTAACACTCAGTTAAGAAGGAGTCCGAGTCCGATGTCAGAATAGGTAACAAAAGAAACTGAGCAAAATGACAATGATACATACATTAACAAAGGACTACTAGCAGTTACTGACCTGCCAGCTCCAGACCTCATTTAAATTGATTGAAAGATTATCGATTATGTCAACATCATATGAAAATCAAGCACAATCCCTCCCGTTAGGGGTTTAGTATCATACCATCATAAAATATATGAAAAGAACATAACCCGTATCATGCCAGCAACTGTTTTTAGAATAAATGTGTTTATCTCCGATGCATAGACCCTATGAGTGAATCAATATTAATACCGAAATATGCTATCTTTAATGACCTGTCAACAGTATCGTAACTATATCCCTTCTGAATAAGTATGTTTAAAGCATACATTTTCAAATATAAAGTATAATATGGACAGTGTAGATTGGTGTTTGAAAACTTGTTTTTACATAAACCATACTAAAACTACTGATTTTTAACGGAGGTTTGGTATTTTGAATAAAAAGCGAAATGTTATTGCTTAAATAAAGCCGACAAAATTTTGAAGTCATATAATCTATCCTTAGTTACTTAACATGCTGACTTAAGAAACCGACACTTAATGTTTATTAATTAAACACGCTTTTGATATTGACGTAAAAGATAAAAAGATAAAAAGAAAACTGTGGCATGATTTAACGAGTTACAATAACATACTTCGACATGTTTGGACGAAGTTAAATGATTATTTTATTTTTATCCAAGAAAATTTGTTTGCAACAAATAAGTTTCATTGTTAGTTTAAGTTTTCATGTTTTCATGTTTTGATGACTTTTTCACATTAGTGTATTTTCCCGTAGAATGCTTATATTTTCACGTCATCGTTCATGGCGTCATTTACACCAATTGACATCGATTAACTCATTCATAAAAAGCATACGACGTGGGGGTATGATGGGAACATTCCAAATAAATCTTGACGTTGCCTATGAGCTAAAGTACAATATTTTTATAATTTACCACGGGTGTGTACTCAAAACGTTTTAAAAACGTTTTATTACAATTTTCGTTATAAAGGTCGAGGCATTGAATTATAGGACAAAATCAATATATCTAAAAGTGAAATTACAAGAACTTTACATAACGCTTTTGTTTGGTATTTGAAAAGGTTTTTTTTTATAAATTCAGCTTCATATGATTACAAACTCACAATCACCTGGTAGTGGTGACTGCACAATTAGTATTCACCGGAATACTGACTGTCTGCTGAAATATCAACCAATCGAACTCAACAAATATGTTCTCTATCAAAGCATAACGATTGTATCATCTTTGGTGTATTTGTTGTGGGAATCAGTGTGTTTTTTCATGAAAGACGGAATCCTGAAAATAATCAGAAAAAAATAATGTCTAAATAACTAAGGTATTTGTTGTTGTCATCATTACTTTTACTTTACGCTTTTTTATTCAACAACAAATTGCAGTTCTACTGTTGACAATGTTCTTCACTAGTACTACTTAATTTGTCTTCTTGTATGTCCTTTCATAAATATGCCGTCACTGCTTTTAAAAGAGAATATTGGACGACATGTAATAAACAAAATATGAAATAAGCATGAAAGTGTACATGCAACAACTCATATTTTAAAGGTTCAGCTTAAACGACCATTTGTGTTTATGGAATTATACATTAATTAAAAATAAGCAGTGAAAATGTTGTACTATTGTAGATGAATATCGCATCAAAGCAGGCATATCAGTATTGACATTGTTATTAGCATACTGTGAGTATTTCAAAATAGATAAACAGATTAATTAAAGAATACGGAAAAAAACTATTTTTGCAATCATGTTTTTGAACGGATTTTTTAGGGAAATCTGTGAGAAATTTGTTAAGTCGTAAAATTCTATATAGTTTCCTTTCTATCACACAAAATTGGTTGGTCCATGTATAATCTATAAACACATGAAAATTTCCCACAATCTACAGATTGAAAGAAAAGCTGCTTGACCCACTTGACCCATACTTTTTTTTGAAGCATGATATAAACTTCATTTTGGGAAATTACTTAACAATTGTATCGGTTTAGAACCGCCAACTTCTTTAATAGACAATTTTTTACTTTTATCACACTTTTATGTTTGTCCTATATGTATATCTAGGAAAGGACACATAAAAGTGTATATTTGGAGAATTTTTAATTATTTAAGGGGAAAAATCATAAATATAACCATAAGCGTTGTTGAATTTATTTATTAAAAATATTACTAAGTCACAAACTGTGATACTATCAGATTATTACATGGCATTTTTCATATCAGATGTATTATCAGCCGAAGGGTCAATATCAGCCTTAGAGCCGAATTTTTCATATCATATGTATTATTAGCCCAAGAGCCGAAGGCTCGAGGACTGATATTAACCGAGGAGCTGATAATACATCTGATATGAAAAATGACATGTTATGATCTTTTTATCATATGCTTCAACATGGAGAAAAATAACAGTTTAATACATTGATCCTTTAAAGTGGTTCTCAATTAGAAGTTCAAATCTTTTTACTTAATCAGAAAAAATACATACAATAACTATTTTTAAGACTTTGAAATAATGCACTTTATTGTATCATTTGTTTTGCATTACTCAAAATATATTTTCATGTTTCCTAATATTTGTTTTTCCTATCCTACTTTGTTATGTTTTTCACTGAAAACGTACCATTGAGGTGTATTTTCCGAATTTGCCTAGTGACGCCGAATTGCCATCCGATAACGTTACGGAAAGGCATGCGATAATAACCGGAAGCAGTTGTAAAAGTTTTCATATCAGTCCGCTAAGCACCATTACAGAAAATATGGTATTTACGTAAATTTAATGCTATTATCATACTGTAAAAATTTTAAGTAATTTGCCTTAAGTATATAATAAACAACAGTACAATATCAAGTCTGCTATAAATTTAATGCTGTTATCATACTGTAAAAATTATAAGTAATTTGCCTTAAGTATATGATAAATACATTGTAACAGTACAGTACATGCTTCAAGTCTGCTATAAAAGAGGCACAACTGGTGTCAAAAGTAATATCAACAACCTGTCAATAAAATTTCTTGTCGAAACGTACATAAATGTTGGCAAATGGATGTATTACAGCTACTTGACTGGTGGCAAATAAATTTATAATCAGATTTTTCAAAAGAACATTTCATCAAATAAGAATACTTTTGTGTGATAAGATTGTGCCGAAGTGCAGTGTAAAGACTTTTTGTTTTGTAGATCATTTCAAGCATTGCAATATTTCTTCTTTTCTAGCAACTATATAAAAATAAGGAGATGTGGTTCGATTGCCAATGAGATAACTATCCACCAAAGTTTAATAAAGTGGATTTAAGCAATTATATGCAACCGTGCGGCCTTCAACAATGAGAAAAACCCATACCTATAAAAGGCTCCGACATGAAAATATGAAACTATTTAATTGAGAAAACTAACGGCATAATTTATAACAAAACAATTTACGAAAAACAAATATGGCAGATGTGAACAAACGACAACCACTGAACTACAGGCTCCTAACTTACGACGGGCACATAAAGAATGTGGCGGGGTTTAATATGTCTGGGAGCGCTCAACCCTCTTCAAACTGGGAGAGTGGTGTAACAGCACAGCATAGTAACAAACTATAAAAATAAGTAAAAAAGGCTTTACTCATCAGATCGATACAAAGAAAAACATCAAACAAAAACACAGACAAGACGTGGCAGGGTATATATCTATCTCTCATCCCAAACAACAAAAAAGACACTAAGTACAGATCTGAAAGTACTCGCAGTTACTGACAGCTAGTTCAAAGCCAATAACTAATAAAAACCACATCATGTATCTAAGACTAAAATATCAATCAGTACACATCCAACATCCAATGGATTTAGTGAAAAGACTTCATTAACAGTCAGAGAAAAACATAACCATGTTCAATGCCAAAATGTAGGTATCGACAGATTGCAGTACCGTGAAATTACATGTGTAATATTTAGTTTTATTTACTGATAACAAAACCAATATTTATACCAATAAAACAATATCCAAAGATTTAATTACAGTGCTGAATAGGTAACCTTTTAGAAAAAGTTTATTTAAACGATTGATAAGTTTACCCGGACCGTATCTAAATTTCCGGTCTCGGTTAACAACATCGCCGAAAAATTTAAGATGTGCTATTCCGTTTGAAATAAGTTTTCTACAGGTACAGCTAAATTTGCAAACCAAATCTTTGTATCTATGGAAAAATTTAGTAAATGTTTTAAGTAATTTGTGGTAACGAAATCCCTGACTTAATAATTAACCAGTAATACATACGAGTGCGCTTATTGAAATCCAAAACGTCACTTCAGACACGGGCATAACGAACGAGTTCGAATATATAAGAATCCTCTTTATACTCATCAACATACATGTACCAAAAACAATAATAACCAACGACGACTGTAAACCATGGATATTGAAAACAAGAAATGTATAATTCTGCTGCCACTGCCAGTGCTGGTACAAATTTCCTTTCCTTTCATATATGATTAATAAAAAGAATATTGTTTCACCATTTAATTGGTCAACAAGATATATCTATAACATATACAAAATGTATTGCAAATCTTGACTGATTCCAAAACTTTAACATGTCTCTATTGGAATCTATGAAATGTCTATTGAGAAGAAATTAAACACAATGTTTCTTCAACATTATATCACCAATGAATCGAATCGATAAAATTACAGTTCAAAAGTCAATCATCACAATCTCTCTGACTGCTAGGACTCCATGGATGATGCATCTGAAAAATAAAGTTTAATGATAATAAACCTGTTCTTCATAATAAATATTATCAATTCAATTGATATGTTATCATTACTACATGTATAATTTTATATAAAGATCTTGATTTTTTTTTATTTATTTATTTTTTTTTTTCGTGTGTATATATAGTGTATCATGTACATGTAGTATCTGGACATGAATAGTCTCTTATACATTGACTCTTTGTACTAATCCACATAAAATATTATCTTTGGGTATTGGTTGGGAGGGAAATTGCAATGTTATATCTTAATCATTTTCTTAGTATAATCTATATTTCATATTGGACGCTTCGCGTCCCCATGAAATCTACAATTATACGTCAGAACAACTCATAAGATATAACATTGGACGTTCAAAGCGTTAATCATAATTACTAACATACCTGAAGGTAAACTTAATACTTTCTTTGAAAACTGATCACTAGTACTATCCTCCAGCAATGGTCTGAAATAGAATTTTATAAAAGTTAAAGCATTTGACCAATCAGCTATTTTCAAAATCTCTCATATAGAAACTCCTTGACATTTAGCCTTACTAGTTGAGGACCCTCTAGTTGAATGAGCCATAAACTTAGTTGTATCAATACTTCATAATATCCTTTATCCAATTAGCTATAGTATTAGACGAGGCACCTCTGTGTGGTTTAACTAAAGTTCTAAGTAATGGATTTGGCTTAGACTTATCCTTCACTCGAAAATCTACAGAACGATTTAAATAAGCTTGTAAACAATCAACCACACATAATTCAAGGTTGTCCTCAAATTTTGGATAAAATATTTCTTTTGAATTACAATCAGATTGAGTTTTTGATATACTTGGGAGCTAAAACTTAGCCCCTTCATTGTTTATTTGCATAAATCTTATCTTGAGTCTAGCAATTTCAGAAGATCTTTTCGGAGCAGCTATTGCTAAAAGAATTGCTAATTTCTTGGTTAATGTTTTAAGATCCAAATCAGGGTTAACAGACTGAGAAATGAGAAATTTCAGAACAATATCAATGTCCCCCATTTCCTGATATTTAGGTAAAGGTGGATTTTCCCTCAAAATGCCCTTCATTAATTTTTTAACTAATTGCGTCTGTCCCACTGGTTGACCATCAATATGAGGAAGAATAGAGGATTATGCAGACCTATGGACATTAACTGTTCTGTATTGAAACCCCTTTTAGAACATCCATGCCAAAAAATCTAGAACAGCGGTTAGAGGTGCTGAAAAGGGATCAACTTCCCGTTCCACACTCCAGCTAACCCACTTATTCCAGGCCGAATCGTAAGATTTCTGAGTTCCTTTCCCCCAGGAGCTGAGCAAAATTTTTTTAACTTCCTCTGATATTGACATTGTTTGATATGATCTCCTGAGACAAGCCACCCGACTAGTTGAAGCGAATTGTTTTGAATCATTGGGTGAGGTTCCCCTTGACGTGACTGTAGCAGATGTGGAAATGTTGGCAACAGAATTGGATGTTGTATTGACATTTGCAGCAATATTGCGTACCATGGCTGTGCCATCCAAGCAGGAGTTACCAGAACTACAGTTGTTTTCTCTGCTTTGATTTTTTTCAGACATTGAGCTATCAAGCAGAAAGGGGGGAAGGCATAAGCCTTGAAACTTGCCCAAGGATGTAGGACAGCATTGAACGCTAATGCTCCTGGATCGGGAAGCCAGCTTATGTATGTTTGAAGTTGATTGTTGGACCGATCTGCGAAAAGATCTATGTTGCAGATCATTGTCTGCCTCATTATAGAATTGAAAACCTTTGAATGAAGTTTCCAATTGCTGGAGTCTAAATGATGTCTGGACTCCCAATCTGCAATCAGATTTTCTCGACCTGGGATGAAATCTGCTTTCAGTACTATGTCTTTCTGGAGACACCATGTCCAAAGCTCTAGGGCTAGTTTGTTGCAAACTTTGGACACAGTCCCTC